AACAAACTATATTGTCTGTGCCGCCTGCACAGTCATATGGTATTTGCAGAAGGATGTGGTCATAAAGAAACCAACAAGGGAAGAATGGTCCAAGATGGCCCATCTTTTCCGGTAGCACTACAGTTTGTGTGTGAGCAATTGCATTTGTGTTGGAGCAATTGATGGGAAACATATGGATCATCACGTCAGTATCTAGTGGCAGTAAGTACTTAAGTACTTAAGTGGTGGTGGCTCATGCAAATAATGTTTTCATTATATTGACATGGGGCCCTTATGGGAACAGCTCAGACTCCGACTCCAGTATTTTTGCACACTCTTCTTTGTAAGATGCTGCGTGACAATGGATTAGACCTGTCAGGAAACTGTCTACTACCACGAACATCAGGTCCTGCTCTACCCTGTGTCCTTGCTAGGTATGAGGTCTTTGCCCTGGGTGAATACCTAGAAAGGCTCTATTCAAGTAATCACTCACTGAATTTGGAGTTTTCAATTATTGGCTCACCGGGGCATAATGAGTTGTGGAGTATCAAGTGGCATTTCCTGCACACTCCTATCAACCTGATCCTGCAGAATTCTATCAATGCTGTAAAAGCAGCATGTATACTGCATAACATTGTTTGACAGCAATATAGATTCCTTATGAGGAATCACTAAGCTACAATATGGAAAGAGCTTAATGAACCAGAACTCAGGGCAACAAGGGTGGTGCTACTATACAGGATCAGTTTGCATTCTTCTTTACCAGCTCTCATTGCAGCTTAATGCTCTTGCACAAATATCTAATAAGAAAATGAACTTTGTCTATATTTATTTCTGTGACGTCTGTCCATTTTTTTACTTATTGTAATGGTTTTATGTAGCTGCGATACAAAGTGGTGAGGTTAGTGGCCTACCTAAATATTTGCAGGGCTTCAATCCTGCATATTATATAACAACCACTATACAGGGTTAAACAAGCTGAACACAGATTGCAACCTTATATTATTTTGTCCTTTGAGCTACCAACAAATATGTAGTAGTAGGCACTATTAGATAGGAAACATTTTGCAGTTTCAGGTACTCATACTATAGAGTATTTTTTACATTTAAAGTTAAACCACCCTTTATTCTAAATACCTAGACCCTATTATAATGAAGCACACAGACTTCTTGCAGCATCATCACTATTATATCACACAAACTTCTTGCTGAAGTCATAGGTCTTGACATGCCTGACATGGAAATTATGAACAAAATCTCTAGCCAGGTTAACATCGTCAAAATACAGCAATAACGCTGGTATGCAGAAGTTTCAAAAAATGTAACATACATTAGCATATCAAACAAAAATATGTCCTAAATAAATGAGCTCACCCATTGTTTTTTAAAGTGAGGTTGGGTAACCATTCCAGCAGAACCTTGTAATTGTGGTCACTGGAATTGTAGAGCAATGTTCTTTCCCTCACCAGCGGTATTCGTTTTTCCACATCAAGCATGGTATGGCATGCTCTCTCCATCTATGCAGCCCGGTAGCAGTAGATGTTGCTAGGAGGAGACTGGTTGTTATGCGCAAAAAATGGCCATAATGTGCTAATGCACTCTCATTGAAGTATATGGGGCCAAAAATGCAGCACTATAAAAAGCACCTACACCTTCCAAGTTGCATGGCAGCGCAACGCATACATATGAACTGACACCATAAAAAATAATAGGATTCCTCTTGTTGTGTATTGTTGTAAACTTAAAATGTATGAACAGAGACTGAAAGATGATGTATGTGCAAAAATGAAGTCTTTGTGGAATTGAGTTATTTTTGCCTGACATTCAGTAGATTGGGGTGTTCTGCTGGTGTGAAAAACCAAAAGCATTTGCAGGGCTTAGCATAGGGAATATATGTTCAAAACCTGTGCAGTTACATCCAGGATATTGTTTTGATGGGAGGAAGTTTTAAATCTCCAAATACAAGCATTTAATGTCTACATACTTGTAAGGAAATACCGTAGAACAATTTGCAGCCAAGTATCTAACTCCCTTAAATTTTTTTATGTCTTTGATCCCCTACTCCAAAAGAGGATACATTACAATTTAGCATTGGCAGGTTGGCGCTTGTAGCTTTCAGCACAGACCTGCCAGCACAAAGAGCGATGCTGTAACCCTACTCTCACAAATCTACATGTAGACCTGCTTTTAATTCTAACCTTCCCTGTAAAATAATACTCCCTAATGCAAATTTTACCACTCTGAAAGATACCAGCACCAAAACCTACTCTAAAATCCAATCTGCTTTACAATAGTATGCCAACTGACAGCACAGCTTACGCATAGCAAAGCACTGAATGATTGCATTGCATCATGGACCTTAAACTTTTCTTTTTACTCTAAATCTACTCTATGACATGCGGAGAAGACCACAAACACAAAAGAAAATGTAGACATTTTAAAGAAGCTAGAGATTAGTTTTATAAAAGACTGTAACACACTATACTTACCAAATTAGGTAACAACGTTCTAAAACAGGAACTGAACTCTGGAAGTTGTGCCCAATATATTCACAAGTATAAGAAGGAAGTGTGGGCGGGCGTATGCGCAATACAGATCATCGGAGGTTAGAGAAGGAGAGCACCGCTGACACTGAATGGGCAGCCGGGAGCGAGCATGCATGACAGACTCTGTGGGACCCGGGGAGTCTGCACTGAATCAGAGACTGGCACCCACCAGCGCTGGAAGGACTTTGGAAGGAAGAAGCTGTTCTGATCAAGAAGCATCACACAAGGTAAGTCCTTAAAGCAGTATTGGGGGGGATTCTAGCTTCAATGTCACTTTAAGGCTTAGTTGTGGGTTACAGTTAAGTTAAAAGGGACAGGTTTATTTTATGTTAGCTTAGTTTGATTAGGAGGATAAGGTTGAGTTTAAGAGTTAAGTTTAGGGTTAAAGTTCAGTTTAATTGTGGTTCACACCAGGTGTTAGGTTTAGGGGATAGGTTTAACGTTATACATTTAGTGGTTCAGTTAGCTTAAGAATCAGAAGTTAGAATCTAGTATGAATTTAGGGTATACAGGTGAATTTGTAATAAACTTTCAACATTGAAAACAATTATTTTTGCTGTGGTAACCTTTTTTGAGTGCTTTTTAAGAGTTAATTTAATTAGCACTGAATGTTCCTGCTTCCAAAAATACCATACCAAATTATTCCCAAATGAAAAATACTGATATACTTCCAGCTGAGTACACTTTAAGATATCTGTTCATAATTTTACTTGGCTACAACATAAATTACTATATATGAATTTAAATATTTTCTGTTTCCTTTACGTCTTCATATTGTTCGGTTATGATTCATGTAGCCAAAGTGTTGCCACAAGCACAGCTTTGTAATCGTCACATGCTAGAAGTACTTGTCCACTATGAAAGCTGCAATATTCAGCCAATTTTAAAACACCAAACATGGTATAAAGCTTATATTGTTGTCAAATTGAAAGGTTATGTATTGTGTGCTTTGCCAATAAATTTAATGGAAACCAATATTTAGAGATATAAGCAGGCAGCCATTTGTGACCTCTGCTCTAAAAAAAATATTTGCCTTACTGCTATGCTGATCCATTGGCTGTAGTGCTTTCTAAATCAAGAATGCAGGCAATGAGTTTTGACTTCACTCTATATGTGAATGCTCTCTATACTCTGAATACTAATTCTGGGTCAGTAACTTAAAGTGACTTTAAAGGAAAAGCGTTTTTCCCTCCCCAATGTTAATTAAAACACTTACCTTAAATGATGTCTATTAATCCAATCTTCTTCTTCTTTCCTGTAGTTTTCAGCATTCTCTACAATGGTGCTGCGGGTCTCCAATCCTGCGCTCCTCTGTCCTTGGTGGTACTTCCTGTCCCACGGTGTCTGCATGCGGGTGCACTCGTCCATAGACTTACCTTGTCTTACCTTGTATGCGCCCGCCCCTAGATGCTTTGCAGCCCGAGCATTTTCCGATTTTCGGACGGGAGTGCACAGCGAAGACAGGGGTAAGTCTGAACCGCTTTTAAATCATTTTTTTTTTTTTTAAACCAAAGGGTTTAGAAACCCTTTAATGAAAGTACCAGACAGAGTCATTCAACAATTTTAAAAGGAGGTCAGCAATACCAGCCTACTTATCCCTCTTATACCAGTCTTCATTTTTATAACTATTATTTTTATCCTCAAAGCACTGCACATTCAAAATATTGTTTTAAATCCTGCACATAAGGTGTTTGTGATTTCAGAGACTTAAGACTTTTAACGATTTACTTTTCTGAAGAAATGTGATGTTGTTTTCACCTAATGCCACACATTTGTATTACTCAGGAATGCTCTTTTTCATGAATTTGTTACTGAAATTTGTTACTGAACAATATATAATATTCAAATAAAAATTAGTAAAGATATACTTAATTCTTAAAGGTATATGCTGAAAAATCAATCTAAAACCAGTATTGTTTTTTTCTACACTTGAAATGACAACACAATAATTGCCAGTCTACTCACATCCAAGACAAACTCTACAACATAGTTCACTTTTGTTCAGCTAATTATTTTGATATATGATTTCTTTATCAGCTTTATACATACAAAATTAGTACATAAAGTAGTCAACTGTGAATTGCATGGCGCAGGAGCAACAATTCCATTCCATTTGCAGCTCACCATCCTTTTATCCCATCACAGTTCATGCTGCCCATAAGGGCCTGGAACTGTAGACTGGGAATGCAGCAAAAACACGGTACCCCTCCAAGCAGGCATAAAATGATTGGAACCTTGTGCATTTTTGTAGTCTTTAAATGGTGCATATACTTATTTTGAGTAAACTCTTAGGTAAATAATATATTTCAACCCACAGCTTTAGGCTCCTTTTTCCAGAATTCAAACCTCTAAAAAAATTAGTGTCACCATACGATGAGCTTTTTATGTCTCTAGCACAGTAAATACAGTGTATATGCACCATGGCATCCACTTCAGGCCAAAAATGCACAAAGTAAAAAGAGATGAGTCACCAACCTTGGCGAAATATCGCATCCTTGCTGCATAAAGGCACCAAGGGAAAACCATAGACTATTAAATATCCCAAACTCATTAGATGAGTCGTTACTTTGAGTTTCTCTTCCGTCTTCAAACTCCTCAGTATGCCATTCGTATGGGCTAAATCTGCTGACCAGGAATAAAACTACACTGACCCCAATGTAAGCAAACACTATGCACATCCAGATCTCATATGCTAAAGGATCAAGAAAGGAAAACACTCCCGGTTTTGACTTCTGAGGCTTCTTGATCATAATGGAGATTCCCAAGCTCATGAAAGGTTTGGAGAAGTCAATTACTTCTTCTCTCACCAGTGTAATTGTTAATGGAGCTATTGCAATATCAGCTTTCTGTAAAACAAAAAATGTACAATGAAAAAAATTATAATTTTTTTGTTTTGTTTTAACTGAGAGACTTAAACTGACAGCTAAGTTACCTTCTAATTGACCTTATTAAATATATTTTATGCTATTACAATTCAGAACAACAGAACAAGATTCAGAATAATCATAAGAAATGCAAATATTTTAAAATGAAATGTATAAAATAATAGTTTTAGAAGCAGGTTAAAATTGAAACTCAAAGCAGCAGCATTTGGACTTAGAACAGTAGAAGACAGGTGCAATAAAAACTTCACTGATAAAAATGAATTTTGTCTGTGAAGGTGCAGAGCAATGATATAAAATGGAAGACATTCTGTTTAAGCATAAGGATTGTTACATGTGAGGACTTTAAGCACAATGATTGTTAAAAGGTAAGAAAAATATGCTCTCTTCCACTTTATGTGCAAACACAATGATATATAATGATAACAGAATTGTAAACATTCATAAAAAGTAGCTGTACACATTAGTGGTATAGGTAAAGGAGATGCAACAGTTGCAACTGAAACTAGGTCTTAGGGTGCAGAATAAGTGAGCAAATACAGCATGTTAATGTAACTAAATAGTGAAAAGCATAGTGATTTAAAGGTACAGAGGCAGTAAGCTTGATTTATTAAAAGCAACCAGGTTATTCACTTTGCAAGGGAATTTGCACTTTGCAGGGGAAGTTTCCCCTTAGCTAAATGAATGAGGTAAAGCTCTGCTGACTTCCATCAACCAATCTTGTGCAAACAAAAATGTTTTTTTTATAATTTTCCTTGCACGTGATTGGTTATACATTGCAATGTGAAGTTTTACCACATTCACTAAGCTAAGGGAAAATTCCCTTTCAAAGTGAACAGCCTATGTGACTTTTAAAAGTCAACCCCCGTGATTCAACCCCAGCTTCAGGGTTCTGGGTCTTTAAATTACCCATACTTGCCTGTAATGTATTATGGCGTCTAAACGGCATTCTGTGTGACAAAGGGATTGCAAGTCCTTCAGGCCTAAGAGTCGAATTGGACTAGCATCTCATGGTATCTCTGTTGCTACTATATAATGTACACAATGGGATGCTATAAAGTATTGTGGCTCCAATCTTGTAACAATTTAGCATTCAGGAATCACAAAGAGCTTATGTAAGAAAAATGTGCTAACAAGAACATTTCTTGTTACTAATAACAATCAATCTTCTTCTAGCTGTCATTTCTGAGTTAAAAATTAACCAATGATTCTGACTTGTTGCTATGGGCATCAAGCAATTTTCTTGCTAGCACACTTTCCTCATATATAAGCCCCATGATACAATATGGCATGACTCACTCATCACAAATATATAGCTTTGTGCTCCTTGACAGACTTTTGGAAACTAAAATAATATGTCAAGCATATAAATCCTTCAATAAATACCACTGTTCATTCTTTCAGACCTTTAATAACGTCATATTTCAAGGTGAAAGAGGTGAAATAAAAATTATGATTCATGTCTGAAGCAGAAAAAGGAAAATAGCTTTGTGGTTTGTGAGTAATTGTAAAGCTTGACCGCACAAAAATGTTTCCACATCTCCCCAGGTGTTATGTGAAGTACTGTCATCACACAACTTAAACATGAAATGTGATTCTTTTGTTACTGTCTCAAGAAGATACCCCAAGGGCACAGCTATATAATAATCAGCTATGTTGTAGCATCAGGTGGCTTCAGCTAGACATGTCACCTATATGAAATAGATCAGTTATATACACATGTAATTCACACTAAACTACCATCCAAATATTACATTTGTTATTAACTGCCTAAGTCAAAATAATAGGTGCACACTGAATATTTCAAGTATGTGCATTGTTAATGGTTTCTTATATTTAGTACAGCAAGTTTCAGACATGACCATAAAATAATTGGTTTTAGCAAACAATTTCATTATAAAAGTTAGTGTTCTTTGGTGTTGTATATTAACATTTTTAGGTAAAATGCTGTACTGTACTTACCCCATAAACTAATTCCCCGACCATTCCATTCCATATTTTGGTTTCCGCATCTCTTGCTCCATATTTCCCATCAGCAACTATTGTCAGCTTGTACTTAAATCCACAGTGCCTGGCAATCTCAGTTGCCAGATCAACACAATATCCTTCATAGCGATCATTTCCTTCAAACTGATCTGCATTTTTCTTATACATCACATATGGGGCTTCCTGGAAATATCACAACCATTATCTACCAAGATCTGAGCATCTTTAATACCAAATTGTAAAATATGTAAAACTAACATTTGTATGCAACTTGTTGGCAAGCATTATTAACCACACAATCCTATTTTCAGACAGGTGTGAAACATAATTGGGCTTCTTACTGCAGTACGAAAGAAAAAAAATGTTATGCAGAGTATGTATAGACCTTGCCCTAATTTCGCAGGATCTTCAGAGTACTGCACAGCTGCCCATCATGCTTCTGACCATCGGTGATATATTTCCATGAACAATAAAAACCTCTGGCTTGCTACTCTGCCCACCAGGGCCATCTAGTTTTGTTTTTTGTTGCCCCTGAATTGCCTGTGCAGTTTCCTTGGTCATAAAGTTTTTTTCCAAGTCCCAGTGCAGGAGTAAGGACAGGTGAGTGCATACTGCTGAAGTTAAGTTTTTAGCTGAATCCTATAATTTAAAGCAACCCTTTGCTTTCTCCCTTTGTTTTAGATAGGAGCCAATTAACCTTCCAATATGTCTTTGGAGTGTGGGAGGAAACCATTGTTCCCAGAGGAAACCCACGCAAGCACAGGGAGAACATGCAAACTTCTTGCAGATAGTGTCCTGACTAAGATTTGAAAAGGGGACCCCCAGTGCTGCAAGGCAGAAGTGCTAACCCCTATGCCTAATCCTGTTACTAAACTGAGATTGTGGCTGTGCTCATGTGCTGCACCTGCAATGGAAGAATCATTTTTATCTGCATAATCCAAATTCCTGTTACCAGAAGGGCTATATGACCACATTGTCTGTAATGGTGTTTTGATCCCAGGTCACAAATTGTAAAGGTCAGATGCGCATCATAAATTATGTTCAATTTGAAAAAGTCACTACCATATGAAAATTCCCCATGACACCAATTGTAATTGGCTTGCATTAGTGCCGAAACACCACAGTCACAGTTTAATTGCTAAGTTCTCTGCTATTCTGAGTCATTGACGAAATATCATGCTTTTCCCTGAAGATGTGTTTGCCATTTACATTCTGGTAGCTGTTTATACATGAATAAATGTGTGCTCATCATTATGTAATTTTTGGGGAAAAATTCTTGGCATTAGAACCAGACAAAATGAATTACCTAGTAATGAGACAAACCACAGAGTCTTAACTGTTGTCCCGTTCAATCTGTTAGCTAGTCATAAAATTGCTTAAGCAGAACCTTAAACTGTCATTTAAGTATCTTTTTATACCTAATATATTGGTTAAGTGTAGGCCTCACTGCTATTACTTAAGGTCAGAAACTATGGGTGTGGGCATACGCTTTAGAGAATGAATGTAAGAACAAATCTGTGAGTACAAATGGCAGAATCAAGGCATTTCAGCAATGTTACACGCATAATCTACTGAGACAATGAATTTAAGAACAAAGTTGTGAGTAAATGTGGCAGAATTAGGGTTTCTCAGTAAAGCTGCAGCCATAATGTACCCAAGCATAGACTTGCATAGGTTGTTTGCTCAATAAGAAACAAAAAGGTCACATGGAGAGTGAAAATGTCTCTCACATGTTACCTCTTAAAGTGACCAGAATATGAGATTGTGGATGATGCTTATTGTTTTTGCTGTTAGTTCAGTGATATACTAATCTATACCAATGGAGCATATGCTGCTTTGTTTGCACTGTTCAGGATTTATTTATCATGATATGGCAAGAAGGTCAATTGTTTGGGTTCATCTCAGAAAGGACCCTCTTATCCAAATGTACAAGGTTATGTAAGATGGTTTGGGCATTTAGTAAGAAACCATGCATTCTGGGAAGCAGCCTGACTCACAACAAGCAGGATGGATGCTAACGTTCATGTGCCAGGGGAATTAATCTGAAGCTTCCATAGAGTATGAATGTTTATTTATAGCCAAAGGGAAGCTTGGACTACACTGCCCAGACTGCTGGCAAAAATACTTTAGTAAACACACAGGGTGGAAGGTGAGAAGGAGTGGCATAGAACAGTGGCGCTTTCACTCTGTGTATGTGTTAGGTCACTTCCAGGTTCTTGAAAAATAGAAACAATGGGATTCGTTTACTTTAAAAAGTATATTTTGTAATTAAACTGAATTAATTTATCCTTTCCAATTACAATTTACATTTTTTTAAATTCTTAAATACCTATACACAAGATTGGGTGTTCAAAGTGAACACATATTCACCTGGCTAAGCTCTTGTAGATAGTAAATCCCCCCAATAACTAGACATTAATCTAGCCTAGCTGTGAACATAAAAAAGACTGGCCAGACCTTTTTTATTTTTTAGACAACACTCCCAAATCAACACCACACTGCGCAGCTTAAGGCCCCGTTCCCACTGCGCGATATGCAAATCACACGTTTGTCGCGCGATTTGCATATTGCGCGATATCGCGAGATTTGCCGTGCGATATCGCGTTCAAGCTTGCATTGAGCAAGCTTGAATCGCGGCTTAATCCGCTCCAAAAAGGGTCCTGCTGTAGCGACACACGACCCGTGACAGCAGGACCCTTTGCCCCATTGAAATGCATTGGAGCGCGATATCGCGCGGTAATTTGCCGCGATATCGCGGGAATTACCACGCGATAAATCGCTCAATGTGAACGGGGCTTTAAAGTGACAAATCCCAGAGCCAGTTTCAATACCAGCACACTGTATGGGCTAATGTACAAGCAAGAATTACGTCTTGTAAACACTAAAAATTTGTAAAAAATTTATCTGTTTTAAAAAACAGCATTCTGGATGAGAAACCATAAAGGTGTGGTGTGAATTCACTGGTCGATGACAAGAGCAGATGCCTTGGGGGTGGGGTAGGATATAAAAGATGTGCCTACAATAAGACTGTATAGTTGTGCTACTCAATAATTCAAACGGTTCAAATGACAGGCTCCCCATAAACAGAGAAACTGATTGGATTCATAAACTAAGATTTCACCGTTTTTTTCCTCATTATCTGTTAATGAGGTAGACATGTTTAGTGTGATATTGATGTTTAAACTAATATCTCAGGAAAACTGGCTTAAATATTCCACAAGCTATTTTTAGTCCCATGAGAGGAAATTACTTGAGTTCTTCTCACAGAAATATTGATATGCTAGATCTAAAAATATCTGTTCTGGGACGTGTAATACACAATGTGAGCTGATTAGGGTGCTGGGGGAGAAAGGTAATAGAGAGATGGATGGGATGCCGCTACATATAATCATATCAGTCCTTAGGGAATACTGTGACTTGGTTATATAACAATACGCTGTCTCTTTTCTTGTGAGCTGCACAGAATTGTACTGTAATTTATAACAGCACTTAAACATTTCATATACAAATTAGGGTACTGCAGTATATTTGCCTCAACAGCAATTTTTTGCCTTAGCAGTTCCAGTCAGTTATAAAAAAAACCCAAAAAGCATACATTTTAACAATTTAATTTTTAAAGACATCCCAACCCTAACAGTAGTCCAATTCAAGACACATGAATGGGTTGGTCTCCATGATCTTGGCAAAGATATTCCTCACACACACCCACTTATAACTTGGTACCTATAAAATAGTTTTTCCATATATTGTATGGAGAATCCACTAGAGAGTATATTCCACTCCACCTAGTGCACAGGTAGGCAAACTCTGAACCTCTAGCTGTGGTGCAACTACAAATCCGATAAGGCATTGCAAAACTTTTACAACCACAGGCATGACTCCCAGAGGCAGATTAATGATTTGTAGTTTCACCACAGCTTAAGGGCTGGAGTTTGTCTACCCCTGACCTAGTGGATTCTTCCTAAGAGAATATGAATGATACACTTTAGAAGGTGAGATCAGAACTTTGAGCTGTCATTGCTGTGTGCGGAATAGACAAACCTGGACAAATGCTGCTGAAGCTTTGTCTGTCAGAATGGTCATAATAGGAAGGCTTAGAAGGTATGTGCAGGCACTGTTAACTACAGCAGTTTCCCCCTTTTCCTCCCCTGAGTGACAGAGACTCTTTTAAGTCCAACTCCATGCACAATACACTCAGTGCCATTTAGTAAGTTGTATAGTTCATTTGCTGTGAACACCCCTGACATAATAAGTTCTTCCTCCTGGCAAAGCTTAAGTATACCTGTGGATGGAAGTCCAGCTCCCACTAAATTTCCATGCCCAGCTGCAGCACTTCAGGTCTCATAGATCTCAGCGCTGTGGTGACATCTCCTTACCCCTTTCTCCTGGTCAATCACAAAATGGAGCCTTGGGCATTTTGTTTTGTGATTGGCCAGAAGGAGGTGGGGGAGGTTGAAGATGCAACCGCAGAGCTAAGGCCTATGTGACCCACAGCCTTGGAGCAACTGAGGGCATGGAACTTCAGCAGGAACTAGACCCCCACCCACAAGTATAAGTGAGATTCTCAGGGAAAAGGAGAAAGATCCTATAATGGCAGCAGTGTTTACAGCAAAGGGACTACACAACTTACTGAACTGCAGTAAGTGTTTTCTGCCCGGAGTTAGGCTTTAAGCTTTTTATTGCAGACTGGAAGCTGAACAAATGCAAAACTGAACAGGTGGCAGTGCTGCAAAATCCAAAAGCAAAGGTATTTTCACAGCTAGGCATGAGGAAGGCCTAGAATGTTGTATTTCCAACAGGTCCAAATCTATTCAGAACGGATTAATTAGATTTGTTAGACCCACATATTTACTCTAGATTTTCTTTCTAACTATTAGGTGCCTCACTAAAGCTACACTTCTGGCATACAGGTAAATACATAGGTAAAATCTGATTTGGTTAGTCTTATGATTTATGCTCCACAGCCAGATAGAATAGTCAGATTTTGAACCTCCACTGCAGTCACAGCACCACGGCACCATTCAGGCACACCCCCTGCTTGTGGACAACAGAGGAGAAGCCAGTCACTGATGAGGTTACCTTCTGCTCACTCTGCTTTCTCTTCCTGTCAGCAGTCTTCCCTTTCAGCAGATGTGCACTGCATGACCTTGTCAGACAAAGCTCCTCTCTTTCTCTGAAATATAAGCCTGTGTGAGCATTGCCAGCACAGAGCACCAGAGTGGAGTGGTCTTGGCAGGAAGAAGCATTTTCATTAAGAGCAAAGGGTATCTTAAAGCAGTTAGGCACAAATAAATTACACAAACATAGTCACATACATAGTCACAAACCATAAAATGAGGTGGGGGGGGGGGGGTTAGAGGA